GAAAAGAGAAGGAAAAGCCAAGGCAACTCTCTGCCAACTATGATGGGCATTTCCATAGAGCCTAGAAGTTAATCTCTTTAAGTAAAATCGGGCGATGGAATTAAAGTCCGGGGAGGCGGCAAGGAAAGGAGGAGGAAGAGTGCTCCTCCTCATACGGATGCCGCTGCAGCGAGAAGTCAACGACGTCGTCGGCAGCTCCTTCGCCGGAGAGACTAACGCTCCATGCACGTGACGCGCATTTCCAATGGGATTTATGATTTTAATACTTCGTATTTTTTCATAAAGCCCCGTCTGCTCGGTCGTCTTCTGAAGTAGCTTCAGCACAGCTCCAGCTCGCAGGCAGCTTGCAAGTTATGGCACTGCAACCGGCAGCGGCGGCGGCGGCGGCGGCTCGACTCCAAAGCTCTCCAGGGAGGCAGCTGGCGGGGAACTGTGGGCCGGGAGATACGATCAACCAGGAATTGATTCGCGGCCGATATGCAGATGGGCATTAGACTTCAAAGTGCGGATTGCTTTATGGTCGAAGAGCGATTCTTAATCATGATGGGATATGATATGGGGAAGTCGAACATAACTCCCATAATAAACGTATGGATTTGATGTATTTCTTGTTGGATATACTTAATACGAAAAGGTCATTTAGTAAGCTAGAAACTCAAATCCTTTTTTAGTATGGTTTGCTGACCTTTAAAGGATATTTTTAAAGAATTCTAGAGTCAAAGCGAGCCTATACTACAAAAGCCCTTGTAGTCTTTGAACTTTGTTGAAATATGTATATATTAAGTTTTTCACTTAAAAAGTGTTTATACCTTTGCTTTTTGTGATCACAGTGATCAAAGAAATCCCCTGTTACAACTTAACATAGTAAATTTTCCTCTACAAAATTTTCCCAGTTGTCGGGGCTAAAAAAAACCCCACCAGATATCATCGTTTGCCCGCAGATGATGACTCCATTAACCCCTTAAAGTCCGCTTATATTTGCACATTCCGCCGTAGGTACTATCTCCGATCTGTTCCCAAACCCAATTTGCCTTGCTCGTCACATCGAATGGGCCATAAAATTTGTTAATTCTCCGCGGCGGAGAAACAGAAACCGAAACAAAATCGGGCCAGATCTAAAAACGAAACGAGAGCACTGTTTTTTGGAGGCTCCCGATCGGATCGGAGCCAGTTTGGGTTAAGGTTTTAATGGCGCACAGAAGCACCGCCAGAGAGGGGGTGTCAGGGGGGGTGGTTACCTGATGCCTCACCTTATCTCAAATGGGAAATCATTACGTCGCTCTCTCTCTATATACATCTTTCTTTCTCTCTCTCTTGCTTTAATGGCTTTCTGGGACAGAAACAAATCAGAGATTTCGCTTCTCAACACATTTTATGTCCCAACTTTTGCTGTAAAAATATTTTTAACAACATTTCACGTAATTCCAACGACGACAGTCGTAGTAATTACAAATTTTTTAGTGCACTTACATAGGTATTTCTCACATATTTTGTTCAGGTAACAAGAATTCAACGGAAAAGTGTTGGAATAGAATAGATTTTGGGAGGGGATACAAATAAAAAAAGATTTAAATTATGGGTAAAGTCAGGTAACGTTTATAGATATTATATCTCTCTTACAAATAATGAAATTAAAATTTTTACTAGTCATATTATTGTTTAAATTCTTTAATATATATTTAATATATATTTATTGATAATGCAAGAAAGTCTAATACCATTGCTGGGACTTCAAACTCGTGTTGTTTTAGTAATCCATGAAAGGGAGCTAAGAGGTCCTCCATGTTCTATACTAAATGTAGAAAATACAGTTAAGAAATTTAAGCATATATTCTGTATCCAAAAGCCCTATTAATCTACTTAGTTCGGTAAATGCTAATAATCGCATAACATCAAATTAACATGGCCCAGGGGGGTCTCTGGGCTCTCAGACAAATTGCAGTTTTATTTAAATGAATTTTCGCAATGCTGCCAAATTGCGAAAACGGAAAAACTTGAAAAATTCACCGTGAAATTGTTGCCGCGAGTAAGGCCTGTGATAAGGCGCTAGGGAAGTTCAATTCGCGATTTGATAAATCTCCGACAATTTCGCACACTCGCGTAGATTTTTTAGCACTCGCATCCTCTTATTGTCAAAACAGCAAACACAAAAAAAAGTGTGTAAAAAGCGGGGAAGAACGGAAGAGAGAAACAACAGCCAGTAGGAAATTGGTGACAGTTGTTGTTTATTGACATTCGCCCGAAGCCACCGTGAAAACATTTTAAAATTTTTGTAAAACATAAAAACAAATCACGGAGAGCAGGGGGAGGAAAAGAGGGCATGCCGAAGCCACAACAACAAATTCGCATAATATTTCACACCAACTTAAGGTTTTTTTTCGTCCTTGATTTTGTTTTTAAGAGTTGCTGTTTGGGTTTATATAATCGGCTTGTTCCACTGCGGCTGCGGGTAACGGCTGTTTCCGTTTTATAGATGAGAAACACAGATCTAATATATAGATATAGTTTTGCACCATATGCCGACAATGGGGAGAAAAGAGACAAATGGCAAAGGAAATTCAATCATTTTCCAAATGGCTTCTTATTGTTTTTAAATAAATTTCAGCAACTATTATTATTAGAAAATTATATTCTAATGATGTTTAGTTAGCTAAGAGATAGTTGAGATATAAATATATTATATTATATTTTTTGCAAAATATAACATTTTTAAAGACTTCTTTTATACCATTTATTTTTATTCCCCCCTATTTGCTCTTTGAAACCTCCCCTGACTTTACTTTTTAGTAGCCATTAAAAACTTTTCAGCTAATGGATGTCAAACTACTCTCTTTAGCCGTGCATTTTCCTCCAAGTAAAACGTACATTTATTTCCACCCTGAAATTAGTTCACATGTCAGTTGCTTCACTGCATCTTTCAATTAGAAAATTCGCGCTGGCTCAGCAAGAAGCACTAAAGGGACCCGCAAGGACATCATAAAGTGACATCAAACTTTCGGCACTCTGCGTGACTCCTTGTAAGTAAGAAAAGAAATTAGGCGAAGGAGTAAGCCCCAGAGATATGCATGCTAAGGACAACTAAAGGACAACTGCTAAGATATGTAGCTCGAAATAATCCAGGCATTAGCATACATAATACATAACTGGCTGATAAATCGCCCACAGCAGCCACCCGCATAATTTTCCAGTTAGCTAAATAGTTAATTTAAATGGCCGCAATCTTTGTCTTTTGATTCATTTCAAAACCCAATCGCAAATCTCTGACCAAGATTTCTGTGTCGGCTTTTGTATTTCTTTGTGGTTTCCGCTGGCCCTCTCTCGGACTGGCCAGAAGCCACTCGACCATGTCGTGGAGATGGCTCATTTAGATGGTAGATTAACTTTATTGCCCCGAAAACTTCTTGCAAATTGTTTGCGTAATAGAGAAATCGTGCTGGAGACTCGAAAATCGGAAGCTAAGGAGTAGGAGTACTTGATTTGCCAATGATAAATCATCCTCTAAGTTGGAGTTTAAATTTTGATAAGTAAATCTTAAATAAGACACCTCTCTTGAAACCACAGAGCTGGCCTAAAAAATGAGCCACGATTTTCTGGTGTAATTATTCAAGATTAGCCAGATTATCCCCTTTAAGGCTTGGCCGGATTTTCCATCGCTCGAATTCGATTTCCATTTCATTGGACAATCGACTGGCTTGACCCTTGAACCCCTGGGACCCAGTCCTGCGTGCAGACAAGCGAAGGTAATTCGCTTCCTGCCTTCCACATCCTTTGCTCCTGCCCCGAGGCCATATTTCCAAACCTAATGAAGCATTGGGCCTCGAATGGGGCAGGTCCTGGCATCTACGAAAAGGGGTAGTTAGTTGGAGGCTAAGGTTGTAGAGTTTTCTGCCTTAATAATATTATTTCAGCACAATACTTGATTGATTAACTTAAAATGGAGGAAAAACAAAGAGTCAGCTTAAAGGTGAGGAATAAATTATTGAAACCGTAAGCCTCTCGAAGCTGTGACAAGCCCAGTGACTGCTCCCACTCCGCTCCCTGTGACTTTGTGTAAATTTTGACAAATTGAGTTATGTTCCAAGCCCAGCAGCAGCGGCAGCGGCAAATATACAAACAGAAAACAGAGAACACTGAGCTACACAGATTATTTCATTAGTATTCGTAACGCTGATTGCATTTTAATTAACAGGCGCCACTCCTCCTCCCCCTCCGCCGGCTAACCCCTTCTAGAGAACACTGAGCAAAACCCGTTTGACACGAAAAACTGCAAGAATCTCGAATGATTTCATTTTCGTAATAACTCAATTTGGCTCGGCGGCGCACAGCTCGTTTCCTTAAATTGTTTTTAGAATTCCGAAGGCGATTGCAAATCCACTTGAAGCCCGCCGATACATATAATTAAGGCTGCATATAATTTAGGCAGACGGAATTCCAGGAGAAAATGCTCCCATATGTGTGGGTCCCAGGACAGGGATGAAGACTGCACTTTTTGAGGGTTTGTTTTATTGACAATTCACATTCACCAAGTGATGATGACGAACCGAAACCGATTCGAGCTGGAACTGCTGGTCAGCCAGGGAAGTTGGGAATGTTCGAACTGGGAATTTCGATCGATCGTAAAAGCAAAATGGGAATTGCCGGGGCGTCGCGCTGCTCAGTTTATTTGCTGGCCAGCGATAAAAATTTTCATGAATTATTAACAGGTATGAGTGGGAAGGAGTCCGAGTTCAAGGCGTGTTCTGAGGGGGAGTTGGGTTATTGAACCCTTTCCCGGAGATGGTCAATCGATAGAAATCATTGTTGTTTTCCAAAATAAGTATACAAATAAGATGCTTACGATTATTATTATTATTATTTTTAAACTGACCACGACTTGAAAATATTATTGCTTAGATAATACCAATGGTTTCCCTTTTTACTGGCATTTTCCTCGTGATATATTTAGAATCCGATGAAACCCATATAATAATTTGACTTTTCCGACTTTTCCTTTCCTTTCACCTTATATTTTCCCCTACCTTTCGCCTTGTTCTCACAATTGTGATTACACAATGAGATAAAACAGAGCAAACGCCCCTATATAGCCACAAGGATACCATAGTTTGTTCAAGGTAGTGTAGGCAGGTCCTTGAGGTAGATTCAGGTGTTCCTTTTGCCACTTTATGAAATTTATGACATTATTGGGCTCACTGTTCCTTTCCATAGAAAGTGAGTATAACGGTAAAGGCCAAGGACAACCGAAGGATGTGAGATAACCGCACAGTCACAGGCCCAGGCACACTGAATCCCAGCGATAAGTCAAGAGCTGTCCAAACATTTATCTTTGGTCAGGGGAGTGATGATATATTTCTCTATTACAAACCTGATTCCGAGATTCTTTCGATTAAAATCTCTACCGAGAGAGAGAGTAGCGACATCTTTGAATCAAAAGCGCCGGCAAAAAGCGTGTCTCTTGGAGCGAGCTCAGGCCCCCTGGCTACCCGGCGGAAGCCCAGCTCCGGCGGCATAAATTATCTGCGCTGTGGATCTAAATTAAACAAAAACATTTGACATTGCCCACGGCTCTCAGGCAAATCCTTTAAAGACAAACACAGGCAAGAGGCTGCCACTCCTTCCACCATGCAAGGTTGTCTTACAAGGATTCGCCATTAAAAATGTTAATTAGTTGAGCAAACAGTGCGATTGAGCTTCAACTGTGGCACTCTCTGTTACCATGGATGCAAAATTGGTTATATATAATAAATATAAAATACATGAAATATCTTAAATGTGGTTCCCAGTAGATTAATCTTTAAAAAACCCACCTTAAAGTCAACAAAAGAGCTCCCAGTTCATTGTCTGATCGATCCCACTGTGCCCTAATAGCTGCTCTAAATGGGAATCTGAGAACGTGGCTACCGAGTTAAGCTTCCACCTCGTCTTGGAGTTGCAGTCAGAAGCTGAGTCCACAGTCTGGCAGAGTTCGACTTTGGCCAGCGGACATCGCGTGTGCATGCAAATCGAAGGCAGCCGGAGATTGAACGCCAATTAGGATGAATGTTTTGGGGCATGCCATGCCGCTCTGCATTCCCCACTCTCCGCCGCCGAGAGCCTCCTCCATCCCTTGGAGCCGCTCCAGACTGCATGACGCCGCGTGCCAGAAGCTGAGAGGAGGAGCACAGCAGCCTCTTCTCGCCAAGGTTTGCCATCGTCAGTTGTCAGTTAATTGCTAAAAACTGTTCACACGTTCCAGGTGCGACTTTTGCATACTCCGTCGGGGCAAAAGGAGAAGGGGGAACTGACCACCGATTCCAGTCACGTTCCGCGCCGCTCCAAGGAGCGGGAACTCCCGGGAAAATCAATATCAAAGAAACCCAATCTTGCCTCCCAATGGAAGCCGATGGCTTCCGGACTTCATCCCCTAAATGTGGCCAAGATGGTACCTCCTCCAGCCCCCTTTCTCCGAAATCGGGGGCGTCGAAAGTTGTTTCTATTTGCGGCCATATTTTATTTGGGAGAAATTAAGCATGTAGGGGCCGTGCCGAGAGACCCAGTTATGCAAATCCAAGAAATCACAGCAGAGACTCATAAATATCGACGAATTCTACGGAATTGGTGGGGTCGTTCCAGGGTCTTCTTCGGCAGGTGTGCTCTTTAAATGCACGGCAGCAACTGCCAAAAAATAAAATGAAAAACAAACCGGCGTCCAAAACAAACAAATTGTAGGCCCCAACTAGGGTCTTATGTGCACTTGGAGAAAAGCTAGTGTCTATATTGAGGAATATTCAAAAATGAGGAATAAAACCCAAGTGAGGTGCCACTTGCCAGCCAAGTTATACCACTTATAGGAGCTTTATTTACTTTGCTCACTCTTGGCAATTATTTTAAAATTTTTCTATTTTTTTTCGTAGTGTAATCTTAATGCCCAACCCTCACTCTATAGGGGACTCTTAATATGGCGAACACGTACCCCTCAAAACCGTTCGGATCGGTGGATCGCACTGCGGATCGCCTCGATTTATACGTTTGTTTTGGCTTGGCTTTTCGTAATTTCCATTCGTCGCACTTTCAGCGAATCAATCAAACCGATCCGATCCAGAGGCGAGAAGGTCTTTGCCACATTCCCCGATGGGCAGAGATAAACCTGTCGTCCGGCCAAGGGCATAAATCAATCGGGACATAGTTTCGTCGACTTTAAAAACTTTACAAATTAGAATATCTCAGGCTTGAAGTTTTTGGGCAAACTTTCGCCCAAGAGAAAAATCAATACTTATTCCCGGGGCCAGAGTGAGAATTGTAATCCCGGAGCAAAGTTTCATCGCATCCTGCATCCTGGTTGCTGCTCTCTTATGCTCGTCACGTGCCGCAGGACGAAAAATACTCCCCATCTCCATCTCCATCTCCGGCTCAAGTTCTGTGTACATTTTAGCACATATTCCAGCGTCCCGAAGCCTCCACTCGATATCCTGACAGGTACATAGGATGGATGCATGTGCATATATAGTAAGTATGTACAGGGGTCTTGGGTGAGGCAATTACATGGCCAACTCGTGACTGGAACATTTTTCGATGCTCCACCATCTCCTTGGACGGGTAATTCATCTTGATATGCGTTTAGTCTTCTTCCTTCCAGTTGAGATGATGCCAAAGAGCTTAGTTTTGATTACTTTTTACTCATTTCGAGAGGTGTCGTTAAACTTTGAGTTATTTTAAGGTTCGTCTTGTCGGAAGTACCTGAATTAGAACTCTCTTTGATCATTGATTTGTCTCTCCATTTACTATATATTTATATTCCTTTTCCAAAACATTCCTTCCTTCGATATCATTCTCATTACTGCCAAAGGTCAGCAGAGGGGGCCAAGGCCTCATTTCATTTTATTTTCCAACTCGAAGCAAAGTAGCAAAGCAGCAGCAGCACAGGCAGCACGCTCCAAGCACATTTGCCATGTTTAGAATTAAGACTTCAGAGATGCCCGAGATGCTCCAAAAGAGCCCAAACAGCCGCAGAAAATGGCAACGGACGACGGACAGAACCAATTCTGAAGGCAGGCCGGCAGCCTCAGGCCTCGAGTCTCGAGTCTTGAGTCTCGAGTCTCTCTCCAGTCTCGTCGAGTCTCGGGTCCAACTCATGTTACTCACGTTCCAAACGAGCTTTTGTCAACTTGTCTAAATGATTTTTGCACACTGTAAACAAGCCAAGACACTGCGACAACAGACGGCTGCTCCGTTGGACGGACAGCGGACAGTTGGAACGGCGACAACATTCAGTATTGACGTTGACCCTGCACGATTGCGATTCAGAAGTTGGGACGACTCCTCCGACTGCCTGGGGCTGTGTGTGTGTGTGTGAGTGTGCTAAGGATTCCCAACCTGGAGCCCAAGTCGTGTGTGATGATGGGCCAGGAAAATAGGCGGGGACGGGACAGGGGCTGGGGCAGAGACCGGGACCGAGAGCATTCCCCGTGGGAGTCTTTTGTTATTGTTGCGCTGATCTCTTGCGGATTTTTCGTTTCGATATTGTCGTGTAATCACGAATTTATTTTATTGAAAATCACTTGACAGGTGGCGCCTTATTTAACTAAGTTGTCAGGCCGTAGCCCGGGGCCCAGGGAAATGGTTATATTTATGGGAATGCAAATATTGTTAGTCGTAAATGTTTTCTTTTTGTGGGAACACAGGTCGGTCCGGGGGACCAGACATGTTACGAGGCTTAGAATTGCGCAGACGGGTTTATGGGGCGGCTGAGAAGTTCTAATAATAATTGTGGTTGGGAAATTATTGGGGATAGTTCCTGGATATTACTTTGTTTCAGGTGAATTTTAAGTTTATTCATTTAAATAAATGGAAAATTGTAGCTAAAATAATAAGGGAAAGCTCTGTAATTAACTGAATATTTAAAAGGATATACAAGTATGAAGTTTGCAATGGAATCAATTGATCAAATGAAATATCGTGGGAAAATTTCATAGGAAAATTATAGGAAATTATATGTTTTACCTATATACCTATATATCCGAAGATGTAGTTATTTTTTATGATTTTTAATAATAGGACGTTAAATTTGAATAGGCTCTTATATTCATCATTCTTTTTCAACGGTTGCTGACCTATCCCTATGCCAAACACTTTCCACTCAGCAGCTGGATCTTCCACTGCCTCAGCCTTAATCGATTCCGAATCGAATCTTCATCTCTAATTCCATCTTCCGCACATCTCCCATAAGGGGAACAAATGACTCCCCCAGTAGGCCTCCTTATCGCGCCCTCAACAACATTCGCACTCCATCGGAGAACAGAACACAACATCGTCGCCGAATTCTCCAGAGAATCTGCGAACAAGCTGGAGAGAGAAGCCTCTCTGGAGAGGTCTCGCACAATATAGTATATGATGTGTGGATGCTGGAGAGCCAGAGCCAGGCGATGGCTGTGTGCGTTTGTATCTGTGTGCCGGCTCTCTGATGCGAAAACCAAAAAAAAAAAAACAGCAAAACCTGCTCCACCACCATTTGCAGCCTGCAGTGCGCCGCTCCAAGCTCGGCTCCACTCTCCACGCCACGCCACGCCACTCCACTCCGAGAGCCGCAGATGCAGCGCCGCCAAGATGAGATGATGATGATGATGACGACGCTCTGGAGAGGAGTCGCCGCCGAGAGTCGGACCAACAACATGCAACCAGCAGCAGCAGGCAGCAGCAACCTCCATCCAACCAGACCGACGACCAGACCAGGCCAACCGACCAGCGACCGAGGCGACCGACCATGTTTCCTGATGCGAGGCGATGCGAGGCGATAGTTTATCGCCAATTTTCGTGCCGTGCAGAGGTGAACGCGGACCAAAAACGTGCGAAAGGAAAGCTCTGCTCAGCTGCCGCTGCCCAAAGGCGAGAGAGTTCCGTAGCCTCCGAGGCATCCGTATCGCAGCATCCGTATCCGTGTGCACCCGTACATCCTGCGGGGTCTCGCCTTTCCTCCCCCCCAGGGCTGACTTTTTGTGGCTCGCGAATCGCCTCCCTTTTTTTGTTGGCTAGCTTTTCGGCTGCTGTCGGAGATAGTATCGCAAAGTATAGAGACTGGGATGAGCTGAGCTCAGCCAAGGACTCCGACGACTCCGACTCCTCCCGACCAAGCTCCCCCCAAAAACGGCCATGCGCGTTAACGGTAAATAATGGCCGCCATCTTGGCCCGAAACGAAATGTGCAAATATGTCTATATAATCCCCAAGTGCTCTGTGTGTGAGAGTGTGTGCGTGTGACGACACCAAATCAAAGATAAATAGCTAAAAAGCTATCGCCGGAAACAAAATAAATAAATACTTAACAGGGTGGGTCGAGTTCTATATGGAGGAAATATATACGAAGATATAACTTGGGAGCAGGACGAAAGTTTAAGGATAGATCTTTGCTTCAAAGATTTTCAAGAAAATGTCTGTGATTTTTAATCAGTAAATTCCTATTTTATTATATAATTAGTTAAGTTTGATACCTATACAACTATTACTATATATACTGTACTTAATAAAAATTAAACGTAATATATTTCATGAACTTGGATCTACATAAGACTTATACGCTGGGAACAAAATTATTATCATTACCCATAGATATAATTTAAAGATCTTGAGAATATTTAAATAAACAATACCCTAAATCATTTGTTTTTGAAAATTTAAAAACTATCTTTTTGTATATTAAATATTTGTATATTAAATGTCATAGTTACTTAAAAGAAATCGATGGTCTTTGCCATCCTTAGCTTCTATTCTGCTCGTAGAATATCCTCCCTATCATAAAA